CCATGCATTTATTTTAGGAACGGGCAAAGTTTCCAGGACGCTCTCTGTAGTTGTTTTCCCAGCGGTATATGGCTCCAAGCCCTGTGCAGGGAGTAGTAGAGAGCAGAGCTTTTATCGAGTGGCTCCTTATCATTTTGATAGTGGGTGGCTGTGCCAGGGCCCCACCCGGGCGCTGGGGACGGTGGCGGGAGCCAGGGAAAGTCCTCGATGCCCTTTGCCACCAGTGTCCGTGTGGCTCCCTGTGGAGACCGTCCGCTCTCAGGGTGGTGTCTGTCACCCCCTTCGCTGTGAGGGGACGGTGGGAAGATGCTGTGGTCCTCAGAAGAAGTCCTCAGTGGCAGCAGAGGTGCAGGTTGGGCTGTCACATCCAGATGGAGACATTGGCACCAATTTTTTACTATGAGGCTTCCTCTGGGAGAAGAGCATCTTGCTGCTGGGCAGCTTGCTGGGTATGGGGAGATAAGGAACTTTGATGTTTTTTGCTGAGAAGCCATCCCAGAGCCATCACACAGATGGTGAGGTTGTTCATGGTGAACTAACCCAAGCTGAGCTGCGGTTGCTGGGCTGAGTGCTTTGCTTTTGAATCTGGGGGGGGATCTGGGGAGCACACCTCTGTTGGAGTATTCTGGGGTCAATGGGATGCCATTGGATGCTCAGGACAATTTCTTGCTGAGCTCATTGTCTGCTCCATGCTGGTGCCATGGTAGAGCCCCGCTGGCTGCATGAAACACAATTTTAGCAAGTTTTAATTTAAGAACCACATCACTGCCATAATTCAGAAGGGAAAAAACCCTCTAATCGGTGCACGAAGACGATGGAGGACCTTCCTCAGCTTTTCACGTGATCTTGACTCTTAAAGCAAGAGCCAGCTAGAGGACCTGATTCAGCAGCACACTTCTGAGGACTGGCTGAGCTTCAGGCGCGTGACTGCTGATGTGCCGCTGCTCAAAGCTGAGCCAGTGCTCTGGAGCTTTGCTGAATCAAGGTCGGGGGGAGCAGGATCACGGGAGGCCTCTGCCACCGAGCCGCTCCTGTGCCAAAGGGTTTGTTAGGATGGACCAAAGTTGCTTTGGTGGCTTGTTGACTGAAGCCAGGCTGGCCCCTGGTGTCAGTCTCCACGTGCCAAGAGAAGAGTCTCTTTTCATCACTCATTTTCGGTCCTTGTAACGTGTTCAGGGAGCTCTTGTTAAATCCATGTGTTTGAGCTGTGGTTGGGTTGTCTCCCAACGCAGATGATGAAAGCATCGTTCTTTGGGTGTAACATGGCATTTTGGGTGCTCTGGGTCACAGGTGCCCAGGGAGGGGTGCGGGTGGGGGTGTAGGGGAGACAGGCAGTATTTTTGGTAGGAAAGCCGTGTTGAAAGGTCAAGGCAGAACCCTCATTCTTCAAAGATTTGGAAAACTCTTGATCTTGCATTACTTCCAATTGGGTTTTCTTCCATTGGGTGTTTGTAACCTTGGAAGAGTTCCTCCCCTGAAACAGCAAGCAGGAGGGTTTTGTTGATAAACCCAACACAGCACTAACACTGAGTTTTGTTTTCCAGAGTCTCCACCACCTCCCTACTCTCGGCTGTCTCCTAATGATGAGCAAAAGCCACTGGGTACGTGTTTTCCCTCTTTTCGATCTTCCAGCAGCTCTTTTTTGTGGTGCAGTCCTGGTGTTGGTTCCGAGACATCCCTTACACGGCATGTCAGCTTGGATTTTTTGGCTGCTCGTCATTTCTGAGCGAGCATCGGCTGACGATGGGTTTGGAGAAGCAAATGGCTGTCAGTTTATCATCCCAAATTACCGTGTAGACACATGCAGATTTACCAAAATAATACGAAGCACTATTTTTAATGAAGGAAGGCATAATGAAAGGTTACCAGACGTCATGTTTGGTCTGTGTGTGTGTAATCTGCGGGATGACGGAGCGGAGGGGGAGTGGGAGCTCCTGGTGCCATTTCCATAAAGCCCTGGCTGCGGGGGAACCAGCTCTTACCCTTCCTCTGCTTATCAAATGAGACAAAAACTCTTTGAAACTCAGTGCTAGATAATTTCTGAATGGCGTTTCATTTTTCCTGATGAACTCTAAAAGCTTTTTTTAAAAAAGCTGGCGAAAGCAGCTTGGGGAGGTAGGTTGGGTGTGAAGCAAAGGCTGCTGGAGAGCCTGGTCCTACGCGGTGCACGTTGGCTTGGAGATGTTTCAAACTGTCGTCGCTGCATCCTGCCTGTGTGCTGGCTTCTTGCTTGAGTCAATGGGAAGCAAAGACACGGGAGGGAAGGGAGGAATCCCACGTTCCTTTTGGGTTTCTTGCCGGGATGGGCGCAGCTGTGGCTGCGTCTGGAGTGTGGGATTTCCCTCTTCATCCCCTAGTTGGTGGCTCTGATGTATGGGGTTAGTGACCGAGGTGAGCTGGTTTCACAGGGAGGGGACAGGCGGGGTTTGTGGGGCGATAGGAGCGGGGCAGGGTGCTTGCCCGTGCCACCCAGCCCTGAGGTGCCACCCAGCCCCGAGGCAGGGCAGGAGCTGCCCCATGCCAAAGGTGAGTTCCTGCCCTGCCCGGTCTGGCAGCTGCCTGCAGCTGGCTCCTTTGTCACACGGCTGGTCTGTGGCACGAGCAAAATTTGCTGGTTGTGGTTTTTATTATTTTTTTTTAAATTTTGGGGGGTGTTTTTTTCTTAGGTGTGGAGGCAAAAAAAAAAAAGAATGTTGTCCCTCTGTGCTCCCCCTTCCAAGTTAATTCCCTTTAGAAACTGCTGGTGCTGCAGGGAGAGGTGATAGCGAGTGGCACGTGACTTTATTGAAACAACAGCCAGGGGTTGAAATGTGCTTCACTGGCTTGTTCGATTGGAAAAATAATAGTTAATCTGTGAGCAAACAGTTGAGCACTTAATTAGAGGGCTGTAAGCAAGGGAGAATAACAAAGACTCTTAACTTGTTAAAACAAAGTTTCCTTCACTTCAGCAAAGAGGAAGGAAGGAAGGAAGCAAGAATAAACAGCTTCAAGAATTTTAATGGTGATAATTAAGTATAGTAACTATGAGTTGTTTAGAGGCTTAATGTAACTTTATCCAGTAAGCACCAAGTTCCTACTTGTTTGATCAACTTCGCTGCAGTTATTTTTGTGGTCGAAGCAATTCAGACTTTGCGTTTGCACGGTAGAGGTACAAAGTTAATCGTTGCTTTCTGGCCCAGTGGAGAGTTTCTTTCTGGGGAGATGATGGGAAGCTGAAGGGCCACGGGTGTTCATGTGGTGCTTGCAGGCGCCAGGAGGACTGAAAGCGCTTAATTTATTTTTAATTTTTTTTTTCCAGATCTATCAGATTCCACGTTGTCTTACACTGAAACAGAGGCTACAAACTCGCCCAACGTCACGCCCGGAGACTTCTCAGGTTGGCAGATGCTTGCGCCGTCCTGCACGCGTGGGCTGCGCCGGGGGGCTCGGGGCTGGGGCCGGGATACGGGAGGAGACGGGGGGCTGTGATGCTGCTCTGGGTTTGTATTCTGGGTGGGAAAAGAAGGAAAAAAAGAGCAGCTGTTTGGATTGATTGTTCGGAGACGTCTGCAATAAGATGCTGCTTATGGGGTGAGCGTGCGGGGACGTTGCCACGGGGCCACGCATGTGCCCTTCGGAAGGCATCCAAACCTTGCAGGAGCCGTGGGCTGGCGTGGGGCTGGGCTGACGCCGTCACCGGTTTCATGGCAGAAGCCACGAGGCTGTTTCCAAGGATGCTGCGCCGCGGTGGTTCTTGCTGAGTCCGTGCTGGGGTCCTGGCCCTACGATGCAAACGCTGCGTTCCAGCGCAGAGCTCCGGGCTGCGGTGCCGTTGAAGCTCCTGAACAAAGCTCTGCTTAATTAGATCCTGGGTTTTTGCTCTGCCACACCCCTGCAGCCTCCCGTTCGTTTAATGGGGTAAGGCAGGTTCTACCTGCGAGCGGGCAGAGTTGGAGCTTTCCTGTGCTGGGTGTTGGGCTGCGGTGATCGACCCGCATCCATCTCCTCCCATGTCTCATCCCAGGCTGGGGGCTGACTGTGGGGGGCAGGAGGCACCTGTCTGTAGGACCAGGTTTAATTTCTGTGTAAGAAATGACTTGGTTAGTGGAGCTCAGATGGACAAACCTGCACCTTGGTGAACCCTCTGTTAGCGGTTGGCGTTGGCTTTGCAGTGGGGTGGGACTGGGGCACCTCGGTGCTGGGTGCCTGGACGGGGTTTGGTGCTGTCTTGGGGCGATGCTGAGTGTCGATGGTGGTGGAGGGGACCCTTGGGTACCGGTCCCTTGGCTGTGGCTTTTCTCATCCTGTGCCTGCAAGAGTTCATGGCCAGTTTGGTGGGACCTGGGACTTCCTTGGGATGTTTAAGCCCATCCTGACTCTGCAGCACATTAAAGAGCATTTAAGCAGCACTGCACCGCGGTGTCACGGCACAGCGGTGCGTTTCCCTCCAGGGATTTTCCTTTCTCCTTCTCCTTTAAGGTTCTCCTGCCGGGTGGGTTTTGCCGCGTGCCGAATCCCCCGTGCCGGGCTCGCCGGGCGTCTGTTGTGCTGCCAAGTGTCCATAGCAGGGGAACAATCGAGAGCCAGGAGTTGGAGCGTTCCGGGTTGTGCCATAATAAATATGTGTTCGCAATTCCTAACAAACATTCCTGGGGCTGGATCCGCGTCCGTAAAGTTCCCCGTGCCCGTGGCTTTTATTGTAACTTGATAATTGCTGTTAATTATAGCAGCTGAGTTTGAAAGCCGGGGTTCCTGAGGATGTAATGGTTTAGCTTCTCGCACAGCGGAGTCCTTTATGGGACATCTGGTGTATTTTCTGGAATAGAAGAGAGATTTTTAACTTTTACTTGAACAATATAATGACAACATGTGACCGAGATTGTGCTGAAATCAGATCCCTCCTCTTCCCCTGTGTAGTTTCCAGTGCTGTAACTTTTAATAAGAGTCTGGGGCTGGGTGATTTATTTTTCCCCAGCGCTCATGATTGCTGAAAGAGGATAAGAGCTTCCCTGGAGTTAACCCATACTTGTCATCGCGGGGAAGTAAAAGGAAAAAAAACCTCTTAGGCTCTGTATAGTCTACCTGCCGTGTTTCAGTTTGTTTATTCTCCATTTCGACTTATTTAATAAGTCTGCTTGAAATGCAGGGCTGTGTAAATGATACACGGAGCACATGGTCCTCCTGCCTTGTCTTGGGTGTACCGAAGGAGCTCGGTGTGCATTCGGCTCCTGTTCCAAAAATAAGTACGTTTTGGATCTAGCATCAAGCCACTACTATTTATTGCTTCAGCTTTGATCATCAAAAAGGCTTTTCCTACTAAAACCACAAAATTCAGTTTTGGGTAACAAAGAGAACCATTCTTCTACTGTTACTCGTTTACTTGATGAACTTCTAAACAGGAAGCTTTGGGATGAAGTCAAAAGACCATCTCAGTCATATGTATAAATTTAAAAAAACAAAACAAAACCGACTCTTTTGGAAGTAGACCTTTCCATGGCTATAATCCTGCTCTTAAAAATAAGAAAAAGTCTTCAATGACCTAGGAGGCTCGCTGTAAGATTTGGAGTAACAGTCAGTACTAACTGGCACCACAAGTTGTGATTATTTGTGCGGATGCGACCTTCTGTTGTGAGCTGGATCGATGGATGATGCACCAGAGTCCTCTTCTTCCGAGGTTCCAAGCGTTTGGGTCGTGAGCTGAACCTGTCTGCCCAAGGAGCAGTGTCCAGCCCCAGCGTTTCCCCGGGCTTGGGGATGCTCCTCGTTTCTCTGTGAGGTTCAAACCTGAGTTGATGGGAAAAAGCACTTGGAGGTGTTTGATCCCCAAGTTTCCATCTTCAGGACTCAAGCAGCGTTGCGTCCAGGCTCGAGGGAGTGGGAAGAGGGGCTCCATCTTTTCCTCGTTAGATTTATTTCTGCAGCAAGGACCGCCTGGGGACCAGAGGTGAAGGAAGCCTGCTCTTTGGGGAGCTGTGTTCTGGTCCCCCTGGTGCCAGCAGAGCCTTGGCTGGTGTCAGCGTCCCCGCGGCTTCCCCGGACGGAGCCGGGGAAATACCAGGGAAAGGACAAAATCCAGCAAGGCAGAAACAAAAGCTCAGCCTCGTGACTCATAATTGGTGGAACATTTGTAGTAATTTTTTTTTTTCCCCTTCCCCTCAGCCTTGGTTCCTCTAGCACATGCCAAGAAGCTGCTGTACCCGTTAGACTTGCCAGGCGTGTAGAGGGCTGCGCCGCTGCTGCGGGAACTGGTTCAGTGGGGGGGGGGACGAGCTGGATGGTGTGGGTCACCGACTCTAGGATTGCCCACTTTCCCCTAAATCCTCCAGGACTGTCCCTCACCTTCCCTGGAAGGACCTTGTCCTAAAGGCCCCCTTCCTCAGCACTCCCCTTGCATGGCATCCGTCTTTCTGGCTAAAAAAGCCCCATGAATTCCTACGAGCAGTGACCAGAGGTGGTGTTAGTGGTGGCATGAAACTCTGGAGGTCCTAAGGACCATGCAGGAGGGGAAGGGTTGAGCACAGGAGGGCAAGAGGGGGTGTTGCTGCTCAGGTGCTTCCCGTTGACCATCACTGGTGGCCGCTGCAGGTGTGGAGCAGCTCCTCCATCCTCTAGAGAGTGCAGCAATGTTGGGGCATTGTTTTCCTTTGGAACAATAATAAATCCGGCTGAGTCGTTAGCTGGAGGAGCAGACAGGTAGCGATGGGTACAACTCACTGCCGCCTTGGAACCGTGTCCCCAGCCACCCCTCAGCGGTCCCATGTCTCCGTTGGAGATAATGAAGACTATGCCTGCAGCAGCCAGTGCCAAGCTCTGATAGTGGGTGTTTTTCCTCAAAATGAGCCACTCTTCACTAGAGCTGGTCTCATGTGTCCCTACATGCCTGCTCGTTACCCCTCGCCTCATCAGGAGTCCCACCGGTGTCATTGTTCATATGGAGATGCCCACGAGGCGGAGGGAGAGGGCTCCCTGCCGTGGGGGTCCGTGTCCAGCCCACCTCCCTTTTGCTGGGCAGCGTGTTGGAGGACCTCATCCTGCACCTGGTCCTCCTGCCATGGACTGGCCGAGGGGATGCTCAGCACCAGGCGGATTCAGATGGGAGAAATGAAGATGCTGCTTTAGATTTTTCCAAAAATGCTCTTTTTTTTTTTTTTTTTTAAGACTTTTAAGTCAATTCACTTCCCGTGTGCTGAAGCTCTTCAAGAGTTTCAGCTCTGGGGAACCCATTTGTGGCTGGGAATGTGCAACCAAAAGAAGAAATTGTGAGTTAGTGGTTTGTTGGAGGAGTGATGAATTCCTCTCTGTGGTGGGGAGCCGTACCCCAAAGTGGAAACGCACACGGGAGGCTGCTCCGAGGGTGTTACCCCTCCAAACTTGATGGAGGATAAATGTGGATTAACAGAGAGAGGAGAAACAGAGACTGAACGGGCTGGAGCTTATTTAAATAATTTTAGATTTTTTTTCAAGGCTTGGGAAACTGCTTGCAGGGCGGTGGTGGGACTGGGGGTGTTGGATTTGGGGAGCAGGGTCCCCGTACCCCCAAAGGGAGGAGGGAGGCGGGAGCGTGCCCGTCCATCCCGGCTGGTGACTCAGCCCCGCTGAAGCGATGCCACAGCTTCAAAACGAGAGCCAGAGGGTTTCTTCTGCTTCCAGCAATATTTAGGATGAACTTAAGGAAGCATATTTTAAAACCCACTGAATGGAGAAAGTGAACGTCTCTCTTCCTCTCTCCCCAGAAATAACAGAGTGCAAGGATTTATGCTAACAAGGAAATTTATGAAGATCCTGTGTGTTAGGAGTAGGGGAAAAAAAAATCCTATAAATATGTAAGGCGGATATTCTTCTGCTTCCAGCAATATTTAGGATGAACTTAAGGAAGCATATTTTAAAACCCACTGAATGGAGAAAGTGAACGTCTCTCTTCCTCTCTCCCCAGAAATAACAGAGTGCAAGGATTTATGCTAACAAGGAAATTTATGAAGATCCTGTGTGTTAGGAGTAGGGGAAAAAAAAATCCTATAAATATGTAAGGCGGATATGTGTGGAAACTGGGCAAACATCGTCCTTTCCAGATTGGGGGAGAGATTGTGAAATTACCTGTTCATAGGGGGGAAGAAAAAAAAGCTATTTTTCTCATTAATAGGGCAGCCATTTTTGGGGGTGAAATGTTGGTTTTGCAACTTTCCTCTGGCTTGGGTGTGTCTTGGTGCCGGGCTCCCACCGCAGCCCAGTGGGCTGGGGGCTGCAGGATGGGTCTGACCCAGGAGCCTTTTCATCCTTTCTTCCCCCTCATCCTATGGCAGAAAAATAAATCAATTTAAAAAAAAAAAAAAAAAGCACAGCATATCTGTGCATCCAGTTTAATCACAGACAGATGTTTATTTGGGCCAGTAATGGTTT